ATGTTTTGATGGTGTCCCGATCATGTGATGGTGGCGCGGTCATGTTGAGATGGTGTCCCGATCATGTTTTGATTGTGTCCCAGTCATGTTGTGATGGTGTCCCGGTCGTGTTTTGATGGTGTCCCGGTCATGTTTTGATGGTGTCCCGGTCATGTTGTGATGGTGTCCCGGTCATGTTTTGATGGTGTCCCGGTCATGTTGTGATGGTGTCCCGGTCATGTTTTGATGGTGTCCCGGTCGTGTTGTGACGGTGTCCGGTCATGTTTTGATGGTGTCCCGATCATGTGATGGTGTCCCGGTCCTGTTTTGATGGTGTCCCGGTCATGTTTTGATGGTGTCCGGTCATGTTTTGATGGTGTCCCGATCATGTGATGGTGGCGCGGTCATGTTGTGATGGTGTCCCGATCATGTGTTGATTGTGTCCCGTCATGTTGTGATGGTGTCCCGGTCATGTTGTGACGGTGTCCCAGTCATGTTGTGATGGTGTCTCGCTCATGTTGTGACGGTGTCCCGGTCATGTTTTGATGGTGTCCCGGTCATGTTGTGATGGTGTCCTGGTCATGTTTTGGCGGTGTGCCGGTTATGTTTTGATGGTGTCCGGGTCATGTGACGGTGTCCCGGTCATGTTGTGATAGTGTCCCGGTCATGTTGTGATGGTGTCCCCGTCATGTCATGCTGGTGTCCCGGTCACCTTGTGATGGTGTCCCGGTTATGTTGTGATGGTGTCCCAAGCATGTTGTGACGGTGTCTCGGTCATGTTTTGATGGTGCCCTGGTCATTTTGTGATGGTGTCCGGTTATGTGATGATGGTGTCCAAGGAAGAGATGGTCGATGTGTTGAAAACAGCAGCTGTTTCCAGATGTTTCTTTTTGTCCCGGTTTGTATCTTGCTATTGGGGTCTCCAGCTGGGCTAATTAAGGCCTTAGGCCCTAGGCTATATATATTATATACATATAAAATGGTCTGGCCACTTGAAGACTTTGGTTCAGGCTATACATATCATGCTCCGTTTGCGGTTCTTCAAAAGCGGTGGTGCTTCTCCGATGCTGAAACCCTCGTTCGGTGCCTTCACCCACGGGTCCAGTCCTCTCGTGCTTCCGAGAACTCGCCCTCTTCCATGCCCTCACCCACGTAGTGATGCACGAAGGCTCGCTTGGAATACCTTGGAAGAAAGGACCAACTCATCAGAGACGGATCACTACACAATTCCGCCGGCGGATGCCTCGAAGGCTCTTCCACGATGGCTGGAAGACCTGCGGTGAAGTACTATTTGGACGAAAGACATAGAAAACATGACCGACATGACCAGTGCTGTGATTAAGTGGAAACCCGCCTGTACTGACAGAAATGTCTCGGCTTGGGTTTCAAGTTCTGATTGGACTTCTTCCTTCAGTAACTTGACAATGTTTTAAACTGTGGCCATTGCACCTCAAAGAACTCAAAAGGTGACAAATCTTGGGGCGTTTGAACGCGGCCGAGTTCTCCAAAGCGCATGGTCTGTCGGGGCAAGTTGCATGAGGTCGAACTTGTGGTCAATGCGAGAGAAGACCTCCGCAATGGCCTGGAGCTGCTGGTGATCCACAACCCAGCGGAGGCCGGGATGTCCACAAGTTCGGAATCCGTTCCCTGAACTGGAACAAATACGAATTATATAATCATATATAATCCCTGTTTTTAGGTTGGTCTGGTCGGACCAGTGCTCCGAAGCACTAACAAGGAAGAGGAACAGTGGTCCTTGTGCTAGCTTCTTCGTCACTACGTAACCCACACCGAACACATTCGACCCATTGGTTGAAGGATTCCGCACTTGAAAACCAAATGGTGACTGGCACCCTTCTAAATGCCCCATGTGAAGAAAAAGGCCTTCCTCTCTCAAAGACACATGTAATGTAACATTTTGCGCATCCCAAAACTCAATGTCATGCACTTGAAGGTTTCTGAAAAAAGAAATAGAGCCTGAAACATAACCTGAGAAATGTCCATGAACCCCACAGGTTTCTCGATGAATACCCCTCCAATTCCAGACCTCCGATTCTCAATCTGCTTGAGAAAACAGAATCATCACTGGCCATGCAAGGAAAACAAAAGAAAGATCTAATGAATCTAGTGACTAGTGCTGAACCAAATCAATCCACTAAACTTGAAGGAAGACCCCACAGCCAAAGGCAGAAGCAACTCAAAACATGACAAGACCTTCCTGTCTGCTATTTTTCAGCTGATGCAGCACGCTGGATCAATTCTCCAGCCAAAGTGTTCGAATGCAGTGAAAGGCTTTGGGTTGTCAAGTCCTCTAGTGCCTAAGAAAACAAGAAGCTCCAAAACCTCAACAACATCAAGCAACAAGTTCTCATAAGTCCTGAACCTAAAATGGAATTCCCCGGCTAGACACGTCAGCCCTCTTTTGGCCAAGCTACCGTGGAGTTGGAGATCATGCAGCAGGCTCGCATGACCTTGGCCAGATCTCCGCCCGGCACCACCGTGGGAGGCTGGTAGTTGATGCCACACTTGAAGCCAGTGGGACACCTGAGCGAGTAGGTGAGAGACCCCCAATCCAAAGGCGACAAGGGGCCCAAGGGGCCGGATCCTTTCGGCAAAAGCTGGCAACAACGGATCCTGCATCGGGGCCCATGGTCGGATTGTAAAGACCTGGTCGAAAAAGGAACTTTTGGGAACTTGTTAAAGCAGTCCCTCATGAAATTGGTTCATCACGCTTCATCTGCTGATGAAGCTTGGAAGGTCTCCCCAAACCGACAGGCCTTCTCTTGGGGGGGTCCCCTTGTGTCCAAATTCGGGAAATCTGAGGATGAGTCACTTGGCCCAAACACTCCATGGTTGATGTATTTACCTACGTTGGGGGAGTTCAGAGGTCCTTCTAAGCATTTTTACTGATTCCATGCATGGTGTGTGTGGGTAGAGACAAATGGGTCTTTGTCAAACCTCTGGGAAGTTCGCGAATCGCGAACCAATTGGGTGTCTGTCTGACAGTTGTTGCAAACGGTTCCTTTTTGCCCACCCCCTGTTAAGTCAATATTATGAAGAGTCAGTAAAGGGCCGAACGATTCTGTAGAGGAAACTCCAAGGGGCGCCGAACAAAACTCCAAGGGGCGCCAGTCGGAGTGGGTAGGTTCAACTCATGTAGATTCTTGACTAGTAGAACCCCCATGAAGAGTTTTCATGTACAATCCAAATGGGAGGGTTAGTAATCAACAGTCTGCATTGTTCAGCAGCTGAAAGCAAGAAGCAGTGTCGGTCATAGTTCTTTCCGAGGATCCAGTCCACAAACTGGATGGTGCGCTTGGTCTTGATGGTAGCCACTGCTGCGTTCACATCCTTTGGCACCACGTCTCCTGGATGTGGCACAAAGCTCTCTCCTTTGACTCCGAATGACTTTTGGATGTCTTACCTGAGATAATTCCCACCCAAACTGAGCACCTGTAGTGCCCCCAAAAGAATGTAAGCGTGGAAGCCCTTAATCAAACATTGTTGACGGATTTCTATTTGAGCACCACCACATACGGTATATGATGCATTTTCCTCCGCTGGCAATGGATGGTTTTGACAACCCAAATAACGACAGCTTTAACTCAGCTTGGCGTCCAAAACCTTTCTTCAGCCAAGTCTCCTCGATACATCATGCAGCAGGCCATGTACTTCCTGAAGTGCTGCAGGAGCAAAAACGGCCATGAAAAATTCTATCATCCCTGCCTGTTCATAGGGTTTCTCGGTCCAAGTTAGCCAGTTTTTCGCATATTTTTCCCGAAAGACACACAGGGCTCCGTTGTCTGACTGGGTGTTCTTCTGATCCTGGACTCGTCCAGCAGCATCGAGTCCAACCACCCAGCAAATCCAAGAAGCAGGATGCTTTGTTGGAACAGGCTCAAAAGAAAAGAAGAGATGAACCCCAGAACTTATCCAACGGCCCCTTTTTTTAAACGTACCTAGCAGGTAGTCAGTAACATTCAGTAATTGGTCATGATCTACCACTTAAGACTTGTTAGGGGATTGAAAATGAGTCATGACAATGTCATGACTGGACTTCCCGGGAACTGCTTCAAACAAATATACGTATTGTATATATACATTGGTGTTTTGGTCTATTTCACGTCGAGAACACCCCCTCATCGCGAGGCGTCCAAGTGTCCCGTGGCGTGGGTCGCACTTCACCATCATCGAGGCCGGCTCGAAGACGCTCATGGTGATCTCGGCCACCGAGAGCTGCTCGTGGTAGGCCTTCTCGGCACTGATCACCGGGGCGTAGGAGGTCAACATGAAGTGGATCCTCAGTGCCAAAATGCAACCGGAAGTGGATTGAAGTGGATGAAAAAAGAATGAACATGAAGTGGATTCCGCAAAAGAATAACATAGAAACTTGAGCCGCACGGGAGAAATCCGGTTGAAAAGGATCTTGGGCAGCATCAATTGTGCCCAAGCAGATTCCAGATGATGCCGCATGTTGTCATCAATAGTTTGTTCAATATTGGAAAAACTATGAACAACCTAACATCAAAAAGTCCAGGATCAGCGTGTATGTCGCTAGTTCAGAAGGTTTCTTCAAGTTGCGGGGGGACTTCAGAATCAGTTAAGTTTGGAACAGAACAAACCATCAAGTCGCATCACCCACACTGCACGCGCCCATAGTGACACGAAGATCTAGGACATAGCAGGATCACTCCAAAATACGCATGCGCATCATCAGATTTGAGAATCCTTCATACCAAACACTCAAAAGGAAAATCACATATAGTATGCATCCTATCAAACATGATTCACTCTTCGTCCATAAGTATAATGGTATTCGCTCTTCGTCCATCTCAGCCCACCAAACTCAATCGCACATACTGCCATATGGTCCAAGGGTCCTGGGGTAAGGGACCAAATTGGTCTGGAACTCAGTGATATCCACGTTGAGTGCACCATCGAAGCGGAGCGAAGCCTGCGTTGCAATGAACAAAACTTGAAACGTCGCACGACGACGTGCGCAACGTGCGCACGGCCATTGAGCAAAAAGGCACGATCACAACAAGCACGTTCTGTTTCAACGTTCACGGGATAGAAAAGAACTACAATACATACACGTCACGTCAAGAAGATTCCAAACGATCTACTCACATGCATTGACTATTGTATGGTTCTACAGTATATGCTTGTTTGAAGATTGGGGTTCCTGCTGTTCAGTTCAGTGGAGCAGAAATTAGAGGACACCAAAAGGAGATAATTCATGCTGTGTTCTTCAAAGGGCAAAAAAGGAGCATGACAAAAAAGAAAAGAGCCATCGTCGCTTTTCAGGTCAATCCTTCTGTAGGTTGATGATCAAATTAACCAACAAAAACAATCTCGGATTTGAATGATTTCACAAACAAGAGACCGTCAACGAGGAGATGATCTGCGCAATCAACCTGTTCAGGTTGGTGTAGGTTGGACGCTCGATGTCCAAATTGCGCCGACAAATGTCGTAAAGCGCTTCGTTGTCGTACATGATGGTCACATCTGTGTGCTCAAGCAAGGAATGGACACACAACCTGGCATGCTTGTTTTCACACAATCCCTTCTCTCCCAAGGCAAACACTAGTCTAGTGCGGAAAACTGTTCATTTTTGGGTCGCCTATGGAGGAGGGTTGCAAAAACACTACAGTCACTATACAACATGTTTCAAACATCTGTTGACAATACAGCCCGAGCACAAATCAATGATCATGAGCTTCCAAGAAACACGGTGTTATATGGTTCCACGACAGCTGTTGCCACCTGCGGGCAGCACCAAACCTCATGGTGTTGAGCGGTTTCGGCCACAACAGATCTTTGGAATACACAAAGAGGACAACTTCAAAAATCAAAAGGTCCCCTTGCATCTGTTTCACCTCATCAAAGTGTGAAACAACAAAAAGAGAAAGACGGTGAACATCGATCGAAAACAACACATTTAATAGTAAGTGTATTTAAACCTATTTGTATATATATATATCAAAATATGCCCTAATCAAAGCCTCAGAAACCGTGAAAGAGATCTTGCTCTTTTTTCCATAATCCACCGAAAGACGCTCCAACATCAGGCAGCCAAGGCCAGAGCCAGTGCCACCGCCACAAGCGTTGTACACACAGAACCCCTGCAAACCTTAGCACCAATGGCTGACTCCAACTAAGTCCGGGCTCTCGTTTGAAAAGATGTGGAGACATGATGATCAAACATGTGGTTCAAGCAAACACGAGTGCAATATATATCCCTGACTGCTTCATACAATGGTGTACGGAAAGCACTAAAAACATGCGGGCTTAATATTTGTGTTGCCAATATTACGTAATTGTATTGATTGAAAATCAAAATGCAGCTCTGAAACCCGTGCAATTGTCGGCCAGTTTCCGAATCCTGTCGAGGACCAGGTCAACAATCTCCTTCCCGATGGTGTAATGCCCGCGTGCAAAATTATTGGCCGCGTCCTCTTTTCCTGAGATCAGCTGCTCAGGATGGAAGAGCTGACGATATGTGCCAGTGCGGACCTCATCCACGACGGTGGGCTCGAGGTCGACCATCACCTCAGGGGTGACAGCAGCGCTTAAACGTTAAAACACTGTTTAAAGACCATATTGGATCCTGGCGAACAAACAAAACAATAACTTTGGATGCTGGCGCCCTCCAACTGTTTTCAGTTATCACAAAAATCATGTTCCCAGTAAAGAAAGAGTCTCATCTCAGCCAAACAAAGGGCAATTCTTTGTGAAAAGGTCATGGTTGGCGAGAAAGGCCGGCATGGGAGTGAAACCGGACATCCAGATGGTTCCCTTCATAAACCAAAACTTTTGCCTTTGAAAGCTCAGTGAAGCTATAGCAGCTATTCAAGCTAAGATGAGACCACAAAGATAAAAAGAAAAAAAGCCATGCTGTCAGGATGTATGTTCTAGAATCTATATAGATGCTACGTAGATGCTATGCGTCGACTGGCACGGGTGATCCATGTCCAAATTACGCGGGCAAGTGTAGAAGTCCTTCAAGTTAACAAGCTCTCAGGGCTGCCAGTTGCAAAGGTCCTTCAAGTCACGTGCACGCCTAGTGGAACAGGAAACGCCACCACTCAAGGGGTTCACATCAAGAATGAACCGAAGCCTTTGATGCCACGGAACATGTCTATCAGAGGCCAAATGGGTGGAAAGTGTCGCCTTATGTTCTTCACACCATCAAATGCAGGAGCTTTAGAGGGAGAGAACCTTGGTCGCCAATCCGGCATGGTTCTCAATGTCCAGCATTGGGCCCGAGATGTCCGCCATTGTTTGGATGACACATTGCAGCTTCCAGATCATTCACTTGAAGAAGTGATCAGCCCCAAACAGGGAACCAAACCGCACAAGCAAGTCTCGCACAACAATGGTCTTCGCCTTTCTGACAAAAAGTGGAGGAGACGTTGGTCTTGCTGCGAGGATTGGCGTTCACCATCCTGCAGAAGGACACCCTGGTGCAGGGGTGGAGCCAAAGCAAACAGCCCTTGAAAGCCACTCTCAAAGGACGTCAAAATCGGCGTGAGCATTCCAGTGCAGGAGGGCAAGCAAGAACCTGCAAACATCTGCAAGGTGTGGCAGCTTTCAGACTTGAACACATCTGGCATTCAAAACTTGTGGGCAAATGATGAAACCAATTCAGCGTGATCCCAAGCTTCCATGCAAAAGGCATCCAAAACCCCCAACAAGTTCCAGCAGACCCTCCATTTGGAGGAAAGATTTGCATACTTGTCTTGCTTCTTCTATAGCTTCCAACCCCCACAGCATCAGAACGTTTGTAAGGCACCGTCCACAGGCACCGACAAGACAGTGTGAGCTCCGACGCCACGGGTCTCCCGGACGCTCGAGGGCAGCTCAGAACCCGGTTCGATGGATCGCTGGGAGTCGTGGCCCGCGAGACATCGGAGGAGCAAACAGCTGGTCTTCCACTGCAGATGCTACTAGTAGGAGTCAGATGTTACTAGGAGGAGAGTGGAGATAGTCATCGGTTAGATGGAACAGCTGGTCTTCCACTGCCTACTAGTAGCATCTGATAGTTCAAAGGAGTGCAGATGCTTCTAGTAGATGGGCCAGACGCCACTGCTGAGCTCTGCTTGTCGGCGCTTTCTGCCAGGAGATGATGGGACTCGGATCAGTTTTGGAAACTCCGCTTCACTTGGACTGCCACTTCAGTATTTTGCCTTGCCGCTGTCTCTGACTTTGCGCCTTAACAGAAAGAGCTTGGCGTTCCTACAAGGACCCTCGCAGAATGCAGTGTGTCCAACGCTCGTGCAAGACACTCACCCAGACTCACCCAGCATCTCACCGGCAAAGAACCAAAAGGCACAAGGGATTGGAGAGCTTCTGATGATTGATCCATAACAATATGGGGGACAGCACTCATATATATTGCCAGATCAAAAGCCCGAACCTTTCAACCGGCGTGTTTGGCTTCGCTTCACAAGAAGAATGAAACCACCGTACCTTTCTCAAAGGATCTCTCGAGATCAAAAGCCTCTCGAAAAACAACCCTAAGGAGTCCACTCGGAGGATGGCGCTGATTGTCAGTTCTCGGAACCATGACCAGATTGCAAGGGAGACCATGAGGCATATGATATGATTGATATGTCCTAAGATTACAATTCCACATCCAATATCAAAGTACGATACGTCCAAAGACTATATATATACACTATAATGTCCCAAAACTGTGTTTAAATGTGTTCAATGTAAATGAAAATGCAACAAAAAGAGTTACAACATGTTACAACATACCATAACCAAAGGACCAAATCTATGTCCAGGTCCATTGCCATTCCGAGTTCCGTCCTTTTCGCTTCGAAACGACGCATCGCAAGGGATTTCCCGTTTCCGTCGCCCAGACACGCAGCGCGGGACGTGCTTTCCGGCTCCGGTCTCCGAGAAGAACCTGAGTGGAAGCGCGGAAGCCTGGGAAACGGTGTGAAAGAGGGGTGGTCCACCCTGGAAGACGTCGCATGGTCGATCCTAGGGTATTCCAACAGGTTTGCAACAAGTTGAACCCCTCCCTGGCCACAGGGTTATCATCTACTTTCCTTCCACCAGGACATCGCCTTCATCGCCCAGGCGCGTGTTGAAGGCATCATCACCTCCGCCGATGGTCTTGTCGCTGGGCATCTGGCCATCAGGCTGGATGCCATGCTCAAGGCAGAAGAGCTCCCAGCAAGCATTGCCGATCTGGACGCCTCCCTGACCTGGGTTTTCGCGGCAAAACTGCTGTGGCTCCCAAAAGCTATTGTCGACCCAAAGCTCCTTTTGCAAGACAAGGGGTGCAAGGCATCTGTGAGACCATGGAGATAGAATGGTGATGAATGGTGTCTTTGCGAGCCACATGTGTTGGTCAACCTGAAGAACAATAACCAGACTGGCACCTGGATGTCGAATGCTCCTTCTTGGCAAAAGGCAAAGTTCAAGAGGGAAGAGCAACAGAAGAATGACATGAATAGTTCTGTGGATTCGTTTGAATCACAGCCCCAATCCGAACTATATACAAACTGTTGTGCTCAGGAAAGCACAAGACTTACACTGCAGCAAGAGATAGAAATGTGGATTTGACTTGTAGTGGGACATCAACATGGAAGAAATGTCATTGATCCTTCTCACCGTAATGGGAAACACAAATCAATCCATTCCTAGTGTCGCAAACGAATTTGTATATAGACATGTCAAATAAAATATACCTCGTCAATCTTCACTCGACCTGGTCAAATCCAAAAGGCCAATGTGGATGCAGATGGCCTCACGCATGGCTTCGAAGGTCGAAGATAGGGCAAGTGAATGGGCGGAAAGTGCCGTTCAGCGCACCGCGTGATGTGGCAGCCTTGGACACCAATCCTGGAGCCAAAATCCAACATCCAAACTCCTAACTCCTAACACTCTGCAGGACGAACACTAACATCCAAACTCCTCATACATCGAAATATACTAACTCCTTTGACACTTCTAACAGCTACATCTAACTTCTTAACACTCTCCCAGCAATGGACACCTTTAAAGTTCTCCGCTGTTCGACCTTCCATGGACAGAACTCGCCCAAAATACAATGGACAGCCCGCGGAATCTAAGGCTTGAGATCTGGGCTCTTGAAGTTCTGCCCTCCAAAGGATCCCAAAAGAACCCATTGTTTGACGATCAATCAACTTGTTGGTCTTGGAGAGTTTCTGCGTCCAAAGCCAGTTCTTTGGGGACCAGCCAGCACTTTGGCATGAATCATGGGCCGGCTTCAACTGTCTCACCCAGCACAACGAACTTCAAACACACAAAACTACTTCATAGCAAGGCGCATAAGCGGGTTTGAAATATTAGGTGCGTCGCGCGATGCGTTTGCTTTTGTTCTGTGTCTGCTTTATTGTTCTTATTGTACTGTGTCTTTATTCTTCTTCGTCTTCTTCTTTTTCTTGTTCTAAGTATTACTATTCTGCACCTACCAGTGTTATGACACTAAATCAAAATCCATAACTGTATCTTGTTGGCAATTCCCTGTCTTTGATTGGTTTTGAGTGTGCTGATACTAGTGGCATCTTCTCAGGTGGTGATCAAGCATCACCCTCAAGCAACTCACAAAGTATCCCCCACGATGGCAGGGGCACAAAAAAGAACCAGCACTAAATAGAGCTGAAGCCGCTGCTAATTGCCTTTAGTGCCTTCCGAGGAGGTGGGCGGTGTATTCATCACAAGTCACAAGTCGACATTATAGCAAGATGTTCATATTGTGAAGTATGGCCTGTTCACTGGATCCCCCAGGCTCACTAGGCTTCCAAAATTGGAGCATATCTCGACTTTGGACTTGGGGACCAGCAAGAGGCCACCGTTAAAAGATTACTGCAAAAGAAAAAACATGAAAAAGACCCAGCACCTCCGGGCATCCGCTTCCGGACCTTTTGCTATCCCCGGCTGATCGTTTCGATCCCAACAGATACACCAAAGACATCAAATGACCAACGGCGGCTGTCGCATGAGTGTCTTCTCCCCCCAAATCGCTTCGGGCGCCGATACTGAGTTTTGGAAGATGGAAAAGCACCGCCAGGCTTGTGGACACCCCAGCTTGCAGCCGCAGTCGACTTCCTGTTTACTTTGGCCTCCGCTGCATATGCTTTGGCTCGTGAAGAAAGCGCTTTGCAAAGTATGTTTCGGTGTAAGCCATGGCACTTGGCAGCAAGTGCATCTCATTCCTCTCTGACAGAACTTGAAGGCGCGTGGCCAGGCGCGGGTAACTAAAGGAGAGAACCCGAGGATGCTTGCTGATGAGGGTTGCAGCTTCTGATCTAGTAAAGGCTCTTTCCAGCAATGCTTGCTTGGGCTTCAAGTTTTGCTCGAGCCTCAACCTGAGGATTATGGGAAAACTGGCCACCGCATGGACAACTTCACTTTTAGTCAGCCCCAAATCCAAAAGCCACCGTCTCGATGGCTCCAGGTTCCTCTCAATGCCTCCGCTTAAGGCCGATGAATGGCTTGCCACTACATTTAACAGTTGCTCTTTGCGAAGGCCCAAGTCTAGGAACCACTGGACTGTCGGATTCAGGTTGCCCTCGATGCTGTAGCCAAGAACTGCAGGAAACGTTGCAATTGCCTTTGCAACTTGAGCCTGTTTGAGCCCCAATTCCAGGAGCCACTGAGCTGTTGGCTTCAAGTTCCCTTCAATGCTCAAGCCAAGAATTTGAGGAAACGTTGCAATTGCCTTC